AAAAAATTTGAATTAATATTTTTTTATTTTTAAATTGATTTTCTAACATTGAACGAACGTAAATAAAGAACGCGTTCGTGAAGAAAAAGGAATACGTTCACGTTCAAAGTTCGTCAAAAAGATTTTTTACAAAAACAAACTTTTTTAACGCGTTTATTTACAACATTACTGAAAACAATAAGTATAAAATTAAGTCGATTTAGGACACGGCCTAAAAGCTAAGAATTTCTGATTTTCACAGATTAATTTTAAAATTCATAGACAATTTTATTATGTAATTTATTTTAATTTTCTCAGTTTTTATTAAAGTTTCGGAGTTCATTATTTTAAAGGATTTTCTAAATTATTCTTTAAATAATAAAAGAGAATCTCATTTAAAAAAAATATTTCCATAGAAATTGTTTTTAATCGGTAAAAAATGTTTCGAGGAAATCATACCATATTTTCTATATTCCTCCCAAATATTTTTTGATTTATATAATGCACTTCGTTATAGTCTTCTGCTATAATAATAACTAATTCATTTGAAGATTTTAGAATCCCCACTGTCTTCTTACCTTATTTTAATAAATAAAAACTGCAAAGTCATATGTAATCAAAAAAATTTCAAAATACTATTGAATTAGATAAATTTGTAATTGCTTATGATGAAAGAGAGAATTAAGAAAATTAGGGAAATAAATTATTTGATCTCCAGTTTATAATTGTTTTTGTTTTTTGTTTTTGATCATTTCACATATTTCATTAATATAAACTCTTTCACTATGTGATTCAAACTCTGTGGTTGTCTGAGATTATAATTTCCTACTACTAAGATTATTTATTATACAATCTTCATATCTACAATCCTAATTACTTCGATTCTCATCGTTAGATGAATCAAAGTAAATTAATGCTGTTCGTTAATCTAATTCTCAAATAGTAGCTATATAAATGTTATATAAATTATAAGATTTATATTTTATAAATAATTAATAATATTGTAAAAAATTATTTTAATATATAATTGATTTTATACGAGTTTCCGATGATCCAGTGTATGACCAAAAAATTAAATTTTAGCACAAATGAATATGAAAACAAATATTTTATAGAATAGTTTAATATCTCTTCTCTCTAAGAAAGAAATAAAGAAGTCTTTTGTTTTTCATCATTTTTAAGAAATAAATATCAGTCCGCATACGGTGAATTAAACTCTTCGTGAAATTAGGTGAAGGTAGTGCCATTGAAATAAAATACTCAATTGGGGGGTTTCTCCATAATATAGTTTGAATATATAGTATTATTCAGAACTTCATTCATAATTGAATTAATTATTTTTTTGGTCACCATTTTGATTGGATTTTCCGAATGCTTGTGTAATTCTAAATTATCTTTAATCTTATCATTATTTTTGTCATGGGCAAAAATATATCTTGGTCATGGAATCTGTAATAGTTTGTCATGATGCATTTATTTAGGCGGAATAAATAATTTTTAAAAGTTAAGATCTTTAAAATTTTGTTTTATTTCATAATTTATAAAACTCAGTAATAAAGGGGAAATGGAAAAACTATTTATTATTTATGACTATGACATAGAAAATGGCGCACTTGGAAAAAGCTTATCGTGTTAAGAAATATAGAGCAGCCGTCTCATTGAGCCAACTCTGAAGCCGACTCATCAAGTCAACTCATAAATTATTTAGTCGTTTAATTTGAAATGAATTTTGCGACCCAACTTGAATTGACTTAGCCGATTAACAACACTATCTATAATAATGATTAACAAACTCGAAATGATGGTATGATAAATTTAAGCGTTTATTCCTGTGGCTTTAAATTGCTTCTCTAAAGTTAATTCATTTCCTTTAAATTAACTTAGCTACAAAACTATTCGAAACAGTCATCTTGTAGTATGCATAGAATTTTGTTCAGAATTAGATAAATTTTAATATGAAAATATAACGATGAACTTTGAACTTCAGCATTTAAATATTCGTCACTCTCAAATATTCTTTTCAATATTATAAAAAATAAAAAGTTTTCAAAAAGCTTCATTTGGTATAATAAATTTTTTGCTCATGTAATAACTTCACTGCTAAACATATTTATAATTTACAATAAAATTTTAGGATTATTTCATTATTTTGATCTATTGATTTTAGCAATATCATAGCATACACCAGGGTGTATATCATATTGGTGTTTAAATAATCATTTTTTGTATAAAACAAAATAATTTCATGCGTTTGGGAGAATCTCACACAAAAATAATAAATCTTTCATTAGTACTATAAAATTGAGAATTTTTATAGTATTAAATAAACATTGTATTACATGATTTAATGTGTAACCTGACTAAAATACTAGTGTTGTTAAAAGGCCCGATTCGGATAAAATTTTAAAAAATAGCCCGATTAAGTTAATAATCTAAAAAACATTTAGTAAGGCTATAGGTTTTGCACATAACTGTCAGAAATGCTTGAACATTTATTCGTAAAATCTCGATGCTTACTTAATACCATTTAGATAAAATCTTCATCGGGCCCCTTTGAAATCGAAATAAATCGGGCTTTTTAACAACACTACAATGTACATAGATTGCTCTAGATTCTCCATTAAGAAGACGTGTTTGTAAATAAGATATCTTTCCGCTAACACTAGAGGCAGCATCTACATGAGAGGGAGGGAGAAGGTAAGAACATTTTGCTTTCATATTTTTTGAAGGGGCTAAGTATCTAAGGAGGGTAGGCTAGTAAAGTAGAGTAAATTTATTGCTGTAAAAATTTATTTAATATTTTTTATTGACTTATTATAATATACTTATATTGATAAACATCAATCAAAAGATATAATACAGTTAATCATAGTCATTATTTTTCCAATAAAACCTATTCCTGGATAGTGTTGTTAAAAAGCTAGATTTTTCAAAATGGCTGGATTTAGATTTTAGCTAAAATAATATTATGTAATCGAGATTTTGCATATAGATGTCCAAATTTTTCTGCCAGTTAAGTGCAAAATCTATAGGCTTACCAAATATTATTTAGGTTATTATTTTGAGCTGTTTTTAAGATTGACTCGAATCGGGATTTTTAAGACTATTTTTGGACAAATTTTTTCATGAAATTTTATTTATGTTTAAAGAACATTTTGATTATATCTTTGATTACGTTAAATAAATCAGAATTTATTTAAAATTATATAAAATCCTAAAAGAAAAAATATTATATATATATTTATGTTATCTTCCACATAATGATAACATCAATAGCCGTTCTTCTATAAATTTATCGCAGATTCTAGAGATTTAAAATGTCCTCTTTGATTGATAGACATTATGGTGAGAATATCATTAGTATTCATATAATAATTTATCTATTTTTTTATGAGGGCCCAGCTAGAGAGGATAGAAGAAAGAGCATATATTTAGTAATATATATTTTTGGATGAGATATAATCATTCATTTTTTTTATTTTCAATATATTCCGGCCACTATGTTCTAATGATTATAAATATATTAAACCTAATTATACTAAATACTTATTTTCACCTATATTTTTATATATTTTATAAAATAATTGATGTTATATGATTTTTCCGTTAAGAATATTTGAAAATATTTTATTTACTTCCAGGCCAGAAAATGCTTACGTACTGTAATTATTTGTGATACGTGATATATAGCGCATAGCCCTCTATTGTTGAATACACAACAAAGCTACGCTAGCTTTTCCTCATTTCCATCTAATTGGAATTGATTAATTTGGGGGGAAAAGAAAAATACGAGGAGCCCTCCACACGTTTGTGGGCAAGCCGCACGCACTTGTACGCACAATATTCCTAAGAAATGTTGTTAAAACGTCTATAGGCTTTAAGGAAAAGAGCGGGACCAAAAAAGAGCCTATACCCAAGAACTGCATTTAAATTTAATTACTTTAAATTAAAGGTGGGAGGTTGATAATTTATTCTAAAAAGTTTTACTGAATTAATGCTAGTTTATTTATTTTTTGAGGGAAATTAAAGAAGAGTCCTTTCAAAAAGGAATAAATCCACATAAGAATCAAAATAAGAAAAGTAAGGAAAAGATGTGTGAACGAGAGATCCCCAGGAACGTTTTCATCTGAAATATCTATCTTTGATGCGAAAGAGTTTTCTAATTGACCTTTTGAAATTATTAAGCTTTATAAATTGTTTCATGTTTACATTCAGCTCCATCACGTCTTTTATAGCTTTATAATACCATAACAATTTATATTTAGTATTTTCCCTTTGTGTGTGTATAGTCAGACAATAGCATCATGTGCGAGGTTGTGATCGGAATTTCTTATTATATGGGTTAGGAACTATATCCGACGTTTTTTAATGTAATATTTATCGGACTGTGGCTAGATTTCCTCCAGAGGTTAGAGTTAGAGATGACTTTGGGGTAAAAATACCATTAATCGTTCTCAGGCAATTGTTTATAAAAGATTGGATACGTCTTAAGTCAGTCTTGTTAGCTTCCCATATGTCGTCACCTCCGTATAATAAAGTGGGGATGATCGTTGAGTTGAATAGCCTCAATCTCGTAAAAACCGATATTTTCTTAGACTTCCAAATTTTCATGTACATATAGAATGCCCTTTTCGCTTTTTGCGTCCTAATCATTATTTCCTCCTTGCATTCACCTTTGTTGTTGAGCGTCACACCCAGGTATTTGATTTTGTTTGCTTTTTTGATTACGTTTTCACCTACCAAAATATTTTGGAGTGGTGGTGTATTAGGCGAGGGAAGGATAACAGTTTTTTTGAAATTTATCTTTATACCAACTCTAAGGTTTAGGGTTTTAATAAATAAGATAAATCAGTCTTTCAGTCTCTTCAATGTTTTTTGATATTACGACAATATCGTCGGCGTATGAAACGATCCTATTAGCAAAGGGAAAGTTTTCGTTTAACCCAAAGTCTACCAAGTCAGCTGCGGCATTTACCTCTTTTTGGAAAACTACAAAATTTAATCGAAGCTCTCCTTTCATTCATTCATTCCACGTTTTTATAATGAAAGCTTTAATTTTGGTAGGCGGGTATGGAACCAGGCTTAGACCACTTACTTTAACTAAACCTAAATCATTAATAGAATTTTGTAATAAACCAATAGTAGTTCATCAGATTGAAGCCTTAGTTGATGTAATATTTATTTTTACTTTAAAATTTTATTATTTCTAGGCTGGTGTAAATCATATTATTCTGGCTGTCTGTTATCAAGCTGATCAATTGGAAGATGAACTTAAAATTTATGAAAAAAAAGTTATTTTATAAGTTGGCAATAATTTCATTAACATATAGCTTGGAATTAAAATATCAATTTCAAGTGAAATCAAAGAACCTTTAGGAACTGCTGGTGCTATTGCTCAAGCCAAAAAATTTTTATTACCTGCTCCTAATTGCAATAAACCATTTTTTGTATTAAATAGTGATATTATTTGTAATTTCCCATTTAAAGAAATGATTGTCTTTCATGAAAATCATGGTAAGGAAGGCACATTAGTGGTAAGCTTGATATGGATTATTTATCATAAATATATATATTTATAATATCCCAGAGTTGCTATAAGATTATGATAAGTGGAATAATTATACTGGATTTGATCCTGTGGAATCATTAGGAACTTTTTTAGTAAGGTTACAATCAGATGCCCTTTCTCCATAAACCCTTTTAAGTGGTTTTTACATCCTTTCAAGGAGATGGTGATAAACCTTTTAAACCTCTATTAGCCACCAAAAAACATTGCCACTCACCCACCATGATGAGGCTGAAGGTGGGATTTTAGGAGAGAGGTAGGATTTTGGGAGGATTGAACCTAATGTTAGCAAATTCACTATAATTTTTTTAAAAATGATAATCTTGATTGAAATGCTTTTATTAATAAGCTAACCTTCTATCCTTTTAAAAAATTATTTTTCCATAAGGTAGTCATAAATATTTAAAATATAATTAATAAACCTTCATAACTTTAACAAAAAGAGAATAAGCTCTATTTTTAAAAAATAAAATAGCAAAATCATTTTTTCCAATTTATTAAAGTTTATTAAATTTTTATAAGGTTATGAAACTTTTACAAAAAAAGTAAGCAATAAATATTAATGTATATAAATTTTAATATGCAATTGGCAGGTATGTGTGCAAAAATTGACTGAATTTATTTTTTTTAGAATTATTTAGGTGTTATTTAAGAATATCTTGTTTCAGAAATTTATTGTGACTAATGTTGTTAAGTGGCCCTATTTTTAAAAATGGCTCAACTAAAATTTTAGCCAAAATAATATTTAAGCTTAAAGATTTGGTAAATAGAGGTCTAAACCTTTCTGTCATTTATGAGCAATCTGCATACATAATATTATTTTGGCTAAAATCCTAATCAAGCTAAATTACTTAGTAGTATTAAATGACTCAATTTGAGCCTATTTTTAAAATGACTAATTCAATATTTTATCTAGAAATATTCTGAAAGCTTGAAGATTTTGCTCATAGATGGCACAAAGGTTTGGATTAGAGGTCTACAATGGGCAGGTTTTTAGCCCATAAGCCTGCCTGTCTAATATTTTAAAAAATTTAACCTGCCTGCACAACCTGCCCATAGTTTTTAAAAAAATATGCCCACCTGCCTGCCCATGAGTCTAAAATTCTCTACCCACATGCCCATTAGTCTAAAATTTTTTTACCCCTGCTGCTCAACAAACAAGGTCATTCTTTATAATTTTAAAATCGAATTTAAAAAAATGATTCAGTTTTAGCACTACACCCCTACTAAAAAGTTTTATAATTTAGGAAATTGTTATATTAAGCAAAAAAAAATATTCAATTTAAATTATAGAAGGAATTTATTTGATTTAATAAAATATTTATGTAAAAAATATAAATATAAAATTAATATTATTGATATTATTTCTAATTATAATGCAAAAATAATAATGAATCCACATTTTCTGGATTCACACTCATTCCTTTTTGTTCTATAAACCTTCCAGCAAGTTAATTACTTGTTCAGAAGAAGCACTGGTTAATCTTGATAGCTTCGATGAATCTTTTTCTTGTCATTTCCATCAAAGTAAGATATCCGTTTGAAGTTCTATTTAAATGAGATATTTAAATAAAAAGTGAAACCATTAATAAAAAAACGTAATTTAAAAAAGTTATTTATAAATGATAAACTTAAACTAAACTTAGTAGTCTAAATCTTGCTAAATTATACAAAAACTCTTGTTATGTCATTAGGTAAGGTGCTCTCCTTTGTAACAGCCACATCTTCCCATCTTTGTTTAATTTTGATGTGGATACTATTTTTTTAAATATTGCATTTATAATTTAATACCTTTAATTGAATTCTCTTGCTTTTGAAGAAACTGGTAAAATCAGATTTTCATCCATGTGTTGTTATATTCTTCCATGGAAAATTGGTATTAAAAATGTTGAAATTTAATGGAGCATTTTTTTTAATATTTATACATAAATGATTTTAAATAACACTTACTAGTTATAAATTTTTTAGCCCGCCCATAGCTTAAATATTTTTTTTAACCCACCCAACTGCCCACCCATTTTATAAACCCGCTCGCTTGTCTGCCTGCCCGCCAACTTAGATGAGCGGTTAGGCTTAAAACTCGCCCAATGCAGACCTCTAGTTTGGACATCTATTAACAAAATTTTGAATGTATAATAATTTTAATATGTTAGAAAATTAGTCAAAAATATGTTTGTAATTATGCATATTAGTGTTGGTAAATGGCTCAATTTGAGCCTATTTATTAAAACGGCTAACTGAGATTTTGCTTATAGATCTCCATTACTTTTTGACATCAATGAGCAAAATATTCAGGTTTGCATAATATTTTTATGAAATTTAGTTAGCCATTTTTAAAAATTGCCTCAAATTGAGTCATTTAGCAACACAAATGCAAAGCATATAGCATTTTTTTAGAACTTTATCAATATTTAACCTGTTTTACCATAGTTCAACTAGTAATGCATCTGGGATATCTTAACATCCTAAAAATAAAAATTTCCCAAATATTGAAATTTTATCAAGATTTGAAATAGATTTGGAAGGATTCTTCAATAATAATGTTTACAGATTTGTAAATGCTATTTGGTTAATCAACTTTCATTCATTTGAGTTATAAAAGTATATAAAAGGGGGATAAAAAGATTTAATATTTAAATAAAATAATTGTGAATTGGAAATTTAAAATTCAATTTATAATACAGAATACTTTTTATTTTTTTAAATTTAAAATAGAAATATTAAATACTTTTCTAAATATTCAACTAAATATAAATATATAAAGTATTTATATTTAGTATTTTGAATACATATTACTGCCCAACTCTGTTTGTAATTAAAACACTGAATATTTAAATGTTTTAATGTATTAATGAGCTTGGATATCATTTAATTGAAATATAAGATTAAATTGTGGTAAAAATAACTTAGGAATTGATGAATAAGCTGAATAAATAAGCCTAAAATGATTTAATTAAAATAAGGTATAGTAGAATATATATTAAACAACGTATGCTATAGTATAATTATAGATGATATTCTATAAAAAAGTTGATGGGTACAATACAATTAGAAGCGATATTGAATAAGTAATCGACCGATATCAACATGATATAAGATCGGTTTCCAAAATATGGTATCGGTATTACCCTAGTTCTACCCAAAGCTGATAGGGTTGGCAATAATCATATTTTTTTCTTTATTAAATCTCGATTTTTTTGATTTAAATCAAATTATATGATAAAATAATAAACTGAGGTAAAATGACTACATAGGAACAATAATCTCATTATGAGAAAGATAAATGAAGTTAAATAAAAAGGGTTACGAAATTGAAAGTGTAATTATCCAGGGTTACGTGATTGGAAAGAATGGGGGAATTAGTTTTATTATGCTGAATATTTCTAAAAAATTAGAACACATTCACCTTCCAAAAATAGTACCTGAAGATTTTGAAACTAATACATTTTTTGGACACATTTAACATTCGGTAATGATAGAATTAGTTTATTGAATATATGATATTACACTAAAGTATATTTGGGCTATGATAATGAATTTTGAATTTTCAGAATTAGATGATTATGAAATAAAATCTCCATGCTTACACTAATCTATAAAATATAAATAATAATATTCAATTTAATAAACCATACCTTAGGACAGAAATAGTGGCTTGTTTAAAAATTTAAAAATAAACCTTTTTGTCAAAAATGATGGGGAATCAGAATTTTCTCCTTTATTCAATTATGGATAAATAATAAATTTTACCTTTATAACGATGGATGAAGAGGTGTGATTTAGAAATTTATATTTTTAGATGAGGGGTTATTCTAAAATTTTTCTTTATTTGTTATAAAATATGTTTATGAAGTATATGGTTAGTAATTTTAATTTATGAGCACAATAAAAAATCTTTTAAATTTTTTTTTATTCATTTGAATTTTTAATTTATCGCCGGGGTGGCCTAATGGGTAAGATGTAGGCTTGGAAACACGAGTATGAACAAGGACGCGGGTTCAATCCTGGTAAGAACCATAAAAACTTTCAAGTTTTTCTTCGATGACTGATGTGTAAAGACATATGGTATGATGAATTTCGGAGCTTAGAGATGACACCCCGGTCACCGACAGGCCTGGATAGCCGGGTGCTAAGGATACCTGTCCAATAAACAAAATGAAGGACACAAATGAAAATATGAATATGAAAGCTAAGGCGTTCCCTCCATGCGACGCGCAGGGTGTAGACCTCCATCCTGTGAAAAATAAAGTAAAGTTCAAAGCAAAGAAGACAAGACTGGCAAGTTTGAATATTGGGACACTTAAAGGTAAGACGAGAGATTTGGCATCAATGTTGAACAAGAGAAAAGTTGATATAGCGTGCATACAAGAGACGAAATGGAAAGGACAGAAAACTTTGATGATTGGAGATGGGTATAAATTGTACTATAATGGACTTGTTAGCAATACGAACGGTGTCGGCATCATCCTCAGCCAAGACCTAACCTCTTCAGTAGTAGAAGTCAACAGGATCTCTGATAGACTAATGAAGATAAAACTCTGCATTGGTCAATCAATACTACACATCCTATCAGTATATGCTCCTCAAACGGGTTGCAAGGAAGAAGAGAAAGATGACTTTAGAGCTATCCTTGATGAAGCTGTAATGGAAACCTCTAAGGATGACCTAGTCATAATTGGTGGTGACTTTAATGCACATGTGGGGAAAGCAAGAGATAGCTACAAAAGGCATCAGGGTGGTTTTGGATACGGAGAAAGAAATGATGAAGGAGAGCACGTACTGAAATTTGCGCAAGCCTTCGACCTTGCCTTAACCAACACCTACTATAGGGAAAAAGACAGTCATTTAATAACATATGAAAGTGGTACTAGGAAAACAGATAGATTACATGCTAATCTCTCGCAGAAGATTAAAAGATGTAATAGACTGCAAAGTCATCCCAGGAGAAGATATCGCCGCGCAACACAA